CCTGATTCTTTCTAGAACCTGATGATAGGCACGTTCAGCCTATTTCAGGGATTTTGCTGCCAGATGAGTAATTTCTATTTAATTTGACCTTTTTTTTTTTGTGAGAACAGGTTTAGTTGGTTAGTTGTACATGGTGGTTCATGCCTACAGTCCCAGATACAGTACTAGGGAGGCTGAGGAAGGAGGATCACTTGAGCCCAGGGGTACAATGTTAGCCTGGGCAACATAGTGAGACCCCATCTCACTCCCTCCAAAAATAGGCAAGCACAGGGCTGGGGATTAAGCTCAGTGGTTCCACTGCCTGCCTCGCAAGTGCCAAGTCCCAAGTTCGATCCGTGGTACACCTCCCCCTGCAAAAAAAAAGGCAGGCACAGTGGTGCACACCTATAATTCTAGCAGTGTTGGAGGCTGAGGCATGAGGATCGAAAGTTCCAACTCAGTCTGAGCAAGTTAGTGAGACCCTGTCTCAACATTAAAAAAATTTTTTTAGGGCCAGGGATTTAGCTCAGAGGTTCGGTGGCCTGCCTTGCAAGCGCAAGGACCTGAGTTCGATCCCCAGCACCAAAAAAAAAAAAAAATTTTTTTTAAAGAGCTAGGAATGTAACAGTAAAAAGGCCCTTGGTTCAGTCTCCAATGTTGCAGAAAGAACAACAAATCAGCCTTATTGAGGATGCAAGGAAAATTTTCATCATATATGCATGTATATGCATAACCATATTCATATATTAATGTTCCCAATTAAAAATTAAACTGCTAGGGCTGGGGAAATGCTCAGCGATGTTGCTGCCTGCCTTGCAAGCACAAGGACCTGAGTTGAATCCCTGGTACCAAAAAAAAAACCCTGGGAAAAAATTCCATCATGAAACCTTTGTTTCTTCTTATCCACCAGAGTCCAAGTGCCAGTAGGTGATTCATTAAGTGAATCCAAGTCTTATATTGCTCTTGTTGGGTACAGATTGCTGTGTTACTGGCAAAAGTCTGGAAAATTAAGGATACCTTCTCTGAACATTGCCTATCCTGATTTTAGTGTGACACTTGCATGTGTGAAATTCCCTTTGTGTCAGCAGATTTGTGGCTATTTGTGACAGATTTGTTGAATTAGTTTGGATGCAGAGAGAGATGCAGACAGAACTTCACTAAACAGCTGGCGTAGCAGCAGTGTTGTATTACATCTGCATTCTGGGTGTCCAAAGAAATAATAGAACAGAAAGATATTTAAATAACAAACTGCAGAGATTGGTCCAGAAATACTTTATTGATTTGGTTTTTGCCATCTTCTTCTTCCTTTCTCTCTCTTTTTATTTTTTTAGTTGTTGATGATTGAACCCAGTGCCTCAAGAATGCTAAGTAAGCCACACGCTCTACCACGAAGCTACATCCTCAGCCCTGACTGAGTCTTTTTAATGCATTAGGGAGTAGTATTCCATTATTCCAATTTAATGTTTTTACCAAAATACCCTAGAAGATATTACTGTGATGGCTATTGGCCATTTAACTCTGAACATTTTCTTGTTACTTTTTATCATGAAAAATTAAACTCAGAATATACAATGGACAGTAGATACACATCCATCATAGATTTACAATTTTTATCTTGCTCAATTTTTTTTTTTTTCTCAAGTACTTCAAAATACAGACCGTGTGAATCTCTAGAAAGCAAGGACTTTTTCCTAAATAACCACAACACTATTTTCCCACCTCATAAAATTTCTTCCTTTTAGACATGCAGATTCTGGTCCAATATAAATGATAATATAAATGGTCAGCACTTTGTTTAACTTGCTTTAAAAGAGTAGGGAGAGATAGGCATTACTGAAAGAGAAAAATTAAGAGATTCTATGAAAGCTTCTGATGGAAGGATCTTTAGAGTTAAATTATTGTGGTGTTTAGATTTGTCTTGAGCCTTTATTCTATGTTAGTGGCCAGTCCTTCATATTCTCAGGTAGGAGAGAGGCCATAGCTAGATTTTCCTTAAACAAACAAATATCGCAGGTATCTGTAGATGACCTAAGGAAAGCTCTGCCCTTTCAGACTCTTGTTTTGATATGTTTACATTGTTGAACTCAGCAGAAGAAAGTTTTTCATAAGGCTACTTTTTGGAGCCCAGTCAATGCTGTTGACATACTTAACTTGAATTTTCAGGTGCATTTATTCTCTAGGATAGTGTTAGTCAGCTTACTACTTTTAGAAATGCTTTTGTTTTTGTTCAAAAACATGCTGTCATTGTGGTAAGAGGAATAGCTTTGAAGTTTCAGGAACTGTTGTGTTTACTTTGTTACTGGATCTCTTTGGGCTTTTAACATTGGTTTTATCTGTCTTGAGATTCTTTTTCACTCCCTTGGTTTTGGAGTCATCATTTTCTCCTAGTTTTTACCTCATCTCTTGGCCTAGATGTCTGTGTATCTAGACATTTTCTCTACACCTTGTGATTAGTGTAAGCCAGGTTGGAACTCAGACTTGAGGGAGACTTTATAGGGCCTTCTGGAAAAGAAGTTGGAAGGAGCCCTGGCATACAGAGTGGCAGCCTCAGCTATTCCAGAAACCTCTAGCAAGAAGAATATCAGCTTTAGGATGAAGCTAGTACTTTGAAAGGCAGACAGACTGGGTCCCTGCTGATATTGTTGATCAACTAGACCTGCCCAAAGCGTGCAGCATGGCTTTGTGGATCTTGGTGTGTATCCTACTTGGATTTTCTTAAGCATCTTGGACATGTATTTTCAAGTCTTTCGTCAAATTTGGAACATTTCAGTAGTTATTTCTTCAAATAATTTCCCTGTAGGGAAAATCATTAGATCTCTCTTGACCTGTTTCTTCAGTTAAAAATAATGATTCTCTCCAAGTTATTTTGGGGGGGTTAATTGAGATAACCTATTAAAAGCATGTAGCCCAGTCTAATTCAGTACATGATAATTCCTCAGTTGTTACTCAGCATGGGAGACTGCTCTTTATATATTACCTCCCCCACTCTTTCTTTTTCTTTTCTCTTATTTTCCTACTCTTTCAACGGAGTCTTACTATGTATTCCAGGCCTTCCTTGAACTTTCTCAGTATTCCAAGCAGGCCTCAAACCTGTGATCCTCTTGCCTCAGCCTCTTGAGTGCTGGGATCACAAATGGATTGCTTAAGAAAATAGCTAGTTTGGAGTTTAACAAAGCTTAGATCTGGTACAAGAAGGAAGAAATTAGAAATTTGCTTCCCTTCCTGATCTGATGCTCTTCATTCCCACCTAGGAGGTATTATTCCCCCATTTGTATTTATCATTCCAATTGGACATATATACTTATACCTAAACAGTACTTGTCTCATTTACTTTTCCCACTCCTGGGACACAATACCTGACACCCACAACGTAAAGGAAAGGGGTTCATTTTGGCTCATGTTTTAGAAATTTCAGTCCTTGCAGGTCAGCTACCTCAAAGGCCGGGTGGCATGACAGAGCACATGGTATAGGAGGGCTGTTTATGCATGGCATGGCAGACAGCAAGCAGAGAGAGAGAGTGAAAGATGGAGCTGGAGAGGGAGATAAACTCTTCCAGGCCACGCCCTCACTGACCCTCCTCTTCTGACAAGACCCTACCTCCTAAGAGCAAGTCAGCCATAACCCTCACAATCTAGCCACCTTCCCAAAGCCCTACCTTATTGGTGAACAAGGCTCTTGGAGATCTGGATGTATATATAAACCATAACAAATATATTATCTTTGAGGGTTTTTTTTTTTTTTTTGTACCGGGAATCCAACTCTGGCCCTCGCGCTTGCGAGGCAGGTGGCAGAACCACTGAGCCAAATCCCTGTCCCTGTTTTTGAGATTTTTATAGAAGGTATTCATTTCCATTTATTTTGTTGAGATACCCATTTGTTGCTTGTTCTATGCATTTTTACTGCTTTTGGTATTCCACTGTATGCATATACATCAACACACTTTTATCCATCTACTCTGGATGGACATTTAGGTTTTTTAAAAAATCTATATGCTGTGCTTTTTGGTATATCTGTTATATTGCTGGAGAAGCTGGAGGATTTTTTCATGTGTGTGTGTGTTTATATATAGTAAAATTGCATGTGTACTCTTGGATATTAATAGAGTACCTAATTATTTTCTAGAGTAGCCATGTTAGGTTCTCCCAGTAAACGTTTTCCCTCCCCGCCTCACCTTTCTCTTTTTCTGGCCCAATCTAGTGAGATTATAGTTATTGGTTATATATGTATTAAATGTCACAGGTTCTGTAGGAATTATAGGGGGGATGGGTTTGAGGAGGAGGCCCAGCACTACCCTGCTTCTTGCAGCATTTCTTGTTCCCTGAGGTGTAGCCACTTCTGACCTTTCTTAGCTTTGGTGTGTCTTAGTATGTGTCTCGAATGTTGGAGGCTTACTCACATTTGAGGATGAAGGACTAGGCCTTTCTTAGCTTTGGTGTGTCTTAGTATGTGTCTCGAATGTTGGAGGCTTACTCACATTTGAGGATGAAGGACTAGGCCTTTCTTAGCTTTGGTGTGTCTTAGTATGTGTCTCGAATGTTGGAGGCTTACTCACATTTGAGGATGAAGGACTAGGGCATTTGGGAGCTCAGAGTTCAGCAGAAAGATAGGCTGGCTGTTTTCCTGCCAGGTATGGTTGTGGCCCCTTGTGTCAATATCTGTGGACCTGCAGCTGTTTGGATGGTGCAGAGAAGAGGTTTGACCTTCAGGGGGCAGTTTGGGAGGAGGAAGGTGAGTGGTCTGCCCTGTAGTCTAGGAGCCCTGTGGGGAAGCTGGGGAGGTGTCAGTATTTATCTTACCCACCAGTTTTGGTGGGGAGTCCATGCTCTCAACTGTGTTTGGTATGTGCTAGCCTCTGTTTCACTCCTAGAGGTAAACCAGTGGTCATGGTGAGGAGTGGGAAGGAAAAGGGGTCCAGAGCTTTTCATTCAGCCTTCCAGCTGGTCCTGCCTCCATCTTTAGCCTTATCAGATATTGCCAGATATTTCATCAAAGTTGCTATCGAACTGATTTTTTCTTTCAGTGCCTGAAGACCTCTCATTAGAAGAGAGAGAAGAACTTTTGGACATTCGGCGAAGAAAAAAGGAACTTATTGATGACATTGAGGTAAGAACAGAGCAAAACAAAACTCACACTTAGTTTTAGCTTTTGGGTGAAATACTGAATAACTTCAGGGAGATATGAAAAATGGGTGTTTAGTTTGTGTATGTAAGAACTACACAAAGAAGGCAAAGAGTTGTCTGAACTAGTGAGGCAAAGATTCTCCATGCTAGTTACTACAGGCTCAGATAGAAGTCAAGATGGTGGACCTGGAGCCTAGACTTGTGGGTCTAGAGTCACAGATAACAGGTTTAAACAATAGCAGCAGTCTACAACATATTGCCCTCCAAAATTCTATAGTTAAGCTGGTGTAGTAGCAAACTTGTGTAATAATGATAGCACTCTGGGAGGCTAATGCAGGAGGATCTCAAGTTCAAGCACAGCCTAGGCAATTTAGTGACTTAGTGAGACCTTGTCTGAAATTTTAAAAAATTACAAAGGGCTGGGCCAGGGATTTAGCTCAGTGGTTCCATTGCCTCACAAGTGCAAGGCCCCGAGTTTGATCCTTGGAACCACCCCCCAAAGTATAAAGGGCTGAGGATGTAGCTCAGTATAAATGCCCTGGGTTCACTTCCTGCTACCACCAGAAAAATAATTTTTTTTTCGTAAGACCTTTTTTGTATATAATAATCCAAGTACCTAGAAAATTACTTATTACATTTTTGGCACTCAGATATCATTTATTTTTTTGTTTTGGTTTCTTTGATACCGGGGATCAAACTCAGGTCTTTGCACTTGCAAGGCAGGCGCTGGAACCACTGAGCTAAATCCCTGGCCCACTCAGATGTCATCTGAATGAATAGAAGGCATGTATTGGGTTCCAGCTATGTACCAAGTGCCTGGTAGGTGGTAGGAGTGGAATGATAAAGATGAATATAACACAGCTGAATAAACATTATCATTTCCACATTTGTGTACTTTAACCAGAGGACAGGGTGGGAGGGGTGGCCCACAGGAGACACAAATGAATAAAGCCATAATTTCAGAGTTGGGGTATCTGTGATTGTTACAAAAACTATTCAGTAAGCCTTGGCTTCCTTGGAAAGGCTCTTTGAGAAGCTTCATAGACATTGTCATTGCCAAAATAAATGTGGCCTCACAGGCCACTTGTTGTAGGACCAGACCTTGTCCCAGACAGTAACTCCTTTCTAGGAACTCATTTTTTAAGTCTGAGTTTCTTGGCACACAAAAATAGGGTTTTAAATAAAAATTTCTTTGTATTTGAAAGGTAATTCATGGACATTTTTATTCTAAGATTGCCTTTCATTTTTGGAAACATCCTGTAACCCAGAATAAGTTCTTTGGATGACAAATAAGAATATATTTTATTTGGACACTAGTAATCACACTGCTGATTAATGTGGAATCTTAGTTTAGCTCTGACTGTATTATTCTGTCAATGAGAACACTAAGGCCCAGAGAGCCTAGGAGGCTGCCAAAGATCTCAGCCAGTAGAGGACACACCAGGGAAAGGGTGAGCCTGTCCCCACTGTTGCTGGCATCTCTGAGGACTATGGATCCAAGTCTAGTTTTACTCCCAACCCCTGTCTTACAAAGTGACAGAAATCACCCTGAGATTGCTAGCTCAATGCCACCAAAATCTGTCTGAGTTTCAGCTTCCCCTGGTCTCCCAAGAACAGGCAGTGCTGGAGGGAAAGGCAGGTGGCCTGTGCTTGGTAGTGGGAAATGAATGCAGTGAAGTGGTTTTATCTTTTTATACCTCTAATACTCTCCTGTGTCCCTTCTCAATTTTATACATGAATGCTCTAGGATTTGCCTAGTGGGCCCCTCTTCTTGGGTATTTGATGGGAGGAGGACAAATTGTTTTTTTTTCCCCCTAAGTTGTGCTGCTTCTGACTTTGAGGCTCTAGCTGTGTCTAAAGTTGTTGGGTTTCCAAATGATCAAGGAAGCTTGTGCCTGGAAGGCTGAAACTTGTCTGAGTCTAGGCAGAAGTTTAAGACATCCAAATTTCTTCTTTTTGATAGAGGCTGAAATATGAAATTGCAGAAGTGATGACAGAGATTGATAACCTAACTTCAGTGGAGGAGAGGTAAAGTGTTTATGGCTGTACCTTTAAGTTAGTTAATCGCTGCTTTCTATATCTGTCCTCTACTTGAATTTATCAACTGGTGACCATAACAGAGTAAGAGGGCTGACAGGGGAAGAAGAGGCCTTTGGAGCTGTTCATTCTTTCCTACCCCTGCCTCCCTTCTGTTCTCTGTGGAGACAGAGGCTGCTTCTCCGGAGGTTACTTCTTATCCGCTACTTTCTGTAAGTCCCCTTCTAACATTGTAGATTTGGGAATAAGGATAGGCACTCAGAATTAACTACCCACAAATAACCTTTCTGTGTCATAAGGAATTATCCTCTTTTATTTTTTAAAAAAAGTCACTGTTTTTCATCAGCAGCTTTTTCAGAGGTGTATCTCAAGTTATCACATGTGAAAAAAGAGCCAAAGCAGTTGCATACCTTCTTCCACTGTGGAGGGTGGCAGCTCCTCAGAGTTCACCAGTGCTTTTTGCTTTGTTGAGTGTTGTTAGAGGAAAAATATGCTAAAGGACTGTGCCTTGCTGTGCTTTGCTGAGCTGTGTGAGACTCTGCTCTCTGTGAATATCTGCTAATGATTTTTTCATTATTTCAAATGAACAGCAAAACTACTCAGAGGAACAAGCAAATAGCCATGGGAAGAAAGAAATTCAACATGGACCCCAAAAAGGTAAGCACATACGTCCAATTTTCTGACTTGTGCTGCATCCAACTGATTGATCTGTTTTAATTGCTGCCTCCTTTTGGACAAAGGTGGTCACAACCTAAAAAGATGGAGTTGACATTATTTTACAAAAAAAAAGAAAGTAGGGTCTGCTTAATGAGTGAGGTGAAGTAGAAATATCTTGTAGAGCTGGTTTCTGGCCTACAGGCCTTTCTTATAGTGTATGCTTCAGAATATGGACATGGGCCCACAGGAGCAGCTAGGACCACTTGTTGAGTCCTTGCTGTGGAGCCCCATCTTTGAGATTTATCTTCTAAATCTACCTGTGTGAGCCAATATAGGGCTTCACATGATTAGTTGGGGCCAGTGCATATTAGTTGGGAGAAGAGTTTGGGCATAGAGTTCATAGATTTCATCATGTGAGTGGGCTAAATGGTCCACATAAGAAGACTATTTCTTCCTTTTGTCCTAAAAAGGGTCTGAATGAAAGAACAAGGAATCCTTCCAGATTTCAGCCACCCCTTTGTTCTTTCCTCAAGATAGATTTTCTAGGAACGCACCTCAAAACAACAAAACCTGCTTGTTTTTGAGATTGAACTAAAAGAATTTGGCAGAATCTATAAAAGCTTTTTGGTTTTGAGAGAAAAGAGTAGACCTACCTGAGTCAGCCCCAGTACCTTGAGATCAAGGAGAGGAAAGGGGATGGGAAGTTGTTCTGACTACAGAGCTGGCTTATTCATTGCTAGTGATCTCTGACTGGCGCTCATTTCTGACATTTCTCTTGTCTGACACTGAGCATCAGTACTAATTGTTAAAGTATTTGTTTATTCAATAAATGTTTATTGATTACAGAAATTACACTGCACAAGGCGTAAGATTTGTAAATTCACATTTGTAAGTGTAAGTACAGTCGCAAACAATGTTTAAAAATATATGTATCAAGGCAGGTGAGGTGCTGTATACCTGTTGTCTGTTGTTTTGCAGGCTGAGGCAAGAGGATTGCTTGAAACCCAGGGGTTTGAGACCAGCCTGGGTAACATAGTGAGACCTGCCTCATTGCTCCTTATTTATTCCTCATTTGTCGTTTGCAGAATTGGATTTTCTTAGAGCACAGCACATCTATAGCTCGGGTAGAGTTTTTTTAAACTGGTATTTTACCCACTGTGAAAATTCCTGTTGCTTCTTAATTTAGCTCCAAAATGGCATGAAGTTGTCAGTGGGAATGGTTTTGTGGATTTGGTAATGATTTGGTATTTGAGGATAGTATCAGGTTTTTGTTTTTCCTCCCTTAGGAGTCAATTTAACTTAGTAAACTCATCAGCAGATTTTATAAGCATTGGATGTAATAGAGGATGCTTTATAAAATTGAATGTTTTTAGAACTGAATAGAACACCAGTAAGCCCATGGATAAATTCAGATCTCACGAAACACATAGTACAGTAAACACTGATTTTTTTAAAGTGATACTATCATTGTGCATCAGGAATCAGTACATCAGTGAGCAAACTCACTTTGTGCTTACATTGTCCTTGCTGTCGGTTCTTGCTTGTCACCTTACTTTATATATAATATGGGTCAAAAGTACAATAAGGACTAACATTCAGAATTTCCTGTTTGTCAGGAAGCACAGGAGGGAAGCACTTCAATTAATATATTTAGTCCTTACAGCAACGTATAGGGAAGTTCCTTTTTAATTCCTGTCTCACAGTTGGGCAAAATGAGGCACAGAACACCTAAGGAGCACCCGCCGTTCTGAGTAAGGAACATGACTGACCTCAAGACCTAGGCCTGCAACTATGGTTCCATGCTGAGCTGGCTGACGGCCCTGGGCTTGGTTCATAAGAAGCTGAATCCTGGGCCGGGGATTTAGCTCAGCGGTTCAGTGGCCTGCCTTGCAAGCACAAGGACCCGAGTTCAATTCCTGGTACCAGAAAAAAAAAAAAAGAAGCTGAATCCTGACTATCTGGTCATCCCCGTGGCTTCTGCTTGCCATGTCCAAAGACGTGGAGGTTTAATCAGGCTGTGGTGAATGTCTTAGCAGGCTTTGTCTTATGTCCCATTTCACCCAAGATATATTTTTCAAATTCTTTAATTAGTACATGTTTGCAATACTTAATAAATACATTCCTTGTGTGGAGTTGGTGCATGTTCATAACACATACTAATTCTTTTTTTTAAATCTCCTGTCACTCCTTTTCTTCCTTCTTCCATCTCTAAGAAAGATTTATCTCACTACTTCCTATTATCTTTGTGTCTAATTAATTTAAGATTATGGTCTCAGGGTGTATCTATTTTCCTACAAATGACTCAAGTTTATCTTTATGGCAGAGTTGTACTCCAGTGTTTGTAAATGCCACATTTTCTTTACCCATTCATCTGCTGATGGACATATAGGCTACTTCCATCTGATTCTTCTCAGTGGCTTATCTGTAATTATGCTGTCCAATAAAAGTAGAAGGTACTTTTAGTCTACCTTTGGCCTTTTGCTGGAAAAATTATCAGAATTATTTGATTTATAGTCTTGGTTATAGCACTTGTCTTAGTCAGCTGGGCTACCATGACAAAATACTGTTGACTGGGGGCTTAAACAACAAACATTTATTTTCTTATAGATCTGGGTGCTGCATGTCTGACCCTGGGATGCCAGTATAGCGAGGTTCTGGTGAGAGCCCCCTTTCCATATGCAGATAGCTGCCTTCTTGCTAAATCCTCACATGGCCAGGGAGGGGAGCAAGTTCACTCCAGGATCTCTCTTCTTAAAATGATATAAATCAGAACCAGGGTTTCTGCTCAAATGACTTCACCTAACCCTAGTTTCTCCCAGCAGCCCTGTATCTATGTATATACTGTCACTTTGTGACTTTGGGCTTAATATATAAATTTTGAGGGGGACACAAATAATTTAGTCTGTAGCCATACCAAATAATCTCATTCTTCAGATACAATTCAAAATTAAATCTACTGAATGTCTTTATTAAGCCTTGTAATATTGTGAAACATGAAGGTATCATTAAAGTAAATTCTTTCAAGCTAACAGGGAGGTGATAACATTTTAAACAAGAGCTTTGGTTTGTTCAGGTACCTTAGGTTTATAAATAGAAGGAAGGTTTGGTTAGATTAAGGAGGCTAAAAATACTCTACTACCCTTTACTTGCATTCCTAGTGTCCTAAAATGCCTTTGAAAGAAAAATACTTAAATTTATAACAAGGAGTTTAGTGGAGTAGAAATTGAGGACTCTGTCTGCAAGGATGAGCTCAAGTGAGGAAGGAATGGTGCCCAGATCACATATAGAAGGAGCTGCTAAGGGAAGGGGGAGCAGCCTTGGGGTTCAGCAAGCTCAGAGAAAGATGTGGGGAATGGGAAGCAGTTGAGACATTGACAGCAGGACTCTTCATTCTATGCTGACTTGTAGCAGGCAGTGTTGTGGATCCCAGGTGAGGGAATCAAGAGAAAACACTTAGTCCATTGAGACAGGAAGCATCTGGGTGGTTAACAGCACAGAGAAGGAGAAATATCCACTCCCAGAGGTCAGCATTGGGCATGGCTCCCACCATCTAAATGCTGCTCCAACAAGTCATGCGAGGTGGCTGCAGTAAAAACCAAGAGCAGACAACCAGGAGTTGCCAGTGACTGATTTACAGAGGTAAACTCTCTGCCAAGTGCCACCAAACACTTGAGGAAACCACCACCTGACTAAGACAGGAAACTGGTCAAACAGAAGACCTGAAATAGGAAACAGGCCTGATAGAAATAATGGAAGTAAGCTTTAAAAGTCATATATTTGTATGTATTATAAATATCATCCAAGGTATTGATAGGATGGTTCTTATCCATGATACCAAAGTTTGGCATTACAAGAATGTTGGAAATAAATAGGGGTGTCACATGAACTTTGGGCTGTGCAGCAGAGAAGGTGCTGCTTAAATGTGGATTTGAAGTCTATAGGAATTTTCTCCACTGTTTTGCACAGAGTTACAAGACATGGAAGATGGGTCCAGCAAAACAGATTTCATCAAATCGAAATCTCAAAGGAGACAATTTAAAATGGAACACAGGAAATATTTAAAGGAAACTGTAGACTATTTTAGAACAAGACTAAGATAAAATCAGATTCACAGGCCTCACCAATTGCTAAGCAGTATAAATTTTTAAAAGACCTATGTACAGATGTATTGAATAAAATATCACAAAACTTGTGGATAAAGGGAAAATCATTGAATTTTCCAGGAAGAAAAGACTAGGCCACCTAAGAAGAAATGAATTCATTATCAGGAAACAAAGAGAGCAGGGAAACAGTTCCAGAGTTTGAGAAAAACTGACTTAAAACTGAGAATTCTGTCTATCCAAACTGTCACTCAGAAGTAGGACAAGTAAAGACATTTTCAGAAGCTGTGCGTGGTGGCGCATGCCTGTAATTCCAGTACTCGGGAGGCTGAGGCAGGAGGATCGCTGTGAATTTAAGACCAGCCTGGGCTACATAGTGAATTCCAAGTCAGATTCAACTACATAGTGATACGCTGTCTCAAAAAAAAGCTATTTTCAGACATGCAGTGACTTAGTCACCCACCAAGACTTTCCCCAAGTCTAGTAATTCAGAAGTTGGAGGATTACGTCTACAAACAAACACATGAACAAACAAGAATCCACAGGATGAAAAAGACATGCAATATTTATAGTTAAGCCAGGTGTGGTGGCTCAGGCCTGTAATCCCAGCTTGGGGAGGCTGAAGTAGGAGGGAAGTCTGAGTCCTGCCTGTACAACTGGGCGAGACCATCTCAAAATTATTATCATTATAATAATTATTATATTTTTTAAAAAGAAAAGCAGGGTATATAATTCAGTTGATAGAGCATCTCTGGTTTTAATCCCGTAATAGTGGCAGGGGCACATGGGGAGGGGCAGTGGTGGTTACAGTTAAGTCTAAATAAGAGAATGAGAAGGAAAATAAAGGCTAAAATAAAAAGGAAAGTGTAAAAGTTTGATATGGTTGGGCTGGAGATTTAGCTCAGTGGTGCTGCCGCCTTCCTCGCAAGCACAAGTACCCAGGTTCAATCTCTGATACAAAAAAAAGTTTGCTAAGGTTTTCTAGATGTTGATAGGTCAGTGTAAATTTAGATGTTAAAATTTTAAGAGCCACTACAGATAAGGAATTAAATAGAATTTATAAGTTATTAGGAAATCTGAAGAAAGAAAATTTGATCAATTTAACAAAAACCTGCAAGAGCACGTGAAGTAGAAAGCACAAAATAAGAGGCCAGGAGTAAGTCCTCACAAATCAATGATCATAAATCTGACCAGGTCAAATTAATTTCTTGAAGAGGTTGAGGCAGGAGAACAAAGAGTTCAAGGCCAGCCTGGGCTAGCTACATAAGGAGACCCTGTTTCAAACAAAACAAAACACCTTGATTATTGGATTTGAAAAGATTCCAGCTTCTTCTGAGAGAGACTTCTAGGGCAAGTAACAGGAAAGTTAGAAATACAGAACCAGATACTAAGTTTAGTGGGTTGAATGGTGGCCACTGTTTTCTACTGTTTGATTTTTCTAAACAACATCTTAAAATACTAAAAATTTTTAATGAAACATTTGCTTTATTTTATGAGTAACTACCTACCCAATATATCAGTGTCCTGGGGCTGCCATAGCAAATTAACCATAAATTGGATGCCTTAAAACACAAAAATTTATTCTCCTGCAATTTGGGCGGCCCAAATCCAAGAGCAAGGTGTTGTCCTTTAACCTCTGAGGGAGAATCCCTTCCAGGCCTGTCCTGGCATTTGGTGGTACTCCTTGGCTTGTGGGCATATTACTCCAGTCTTTGCCTTCATTTTCACATGACTGTCTCTGATCTGAGGACACTTGTCACCACACTCAGAGCAGCCTGCTCTTGTGTCCTCCCTTCCTTTTCTAGAGTCTTTCCCTCCAAGATGCAGTCCTTTTGTATTCATAACTGCCCTCTTTGTCTCAGGCTTTTGACTGCATTTTATCTTAGGATCTCTGATCTGAATTTGAACAGTGGCTCCCTGTTTTCCATGTCTGTAGCCTCCATCTTTTGCAGAGGAAACCTTGCCTCCCAGGAACCTCTTCTGTCTCCATTTTGCAACCTGTAAGCACAGAAATTACCTTGTTCTGAACCCATTTGATTTTCTCAAATCCTTGTAAGTCGTTTCACAGCACTTTCCAAAATTCACCCTAGTTTCAGGGGTGTACTGACTTGGAAGGACAGGTCGTACATATTTTAGAACAGTCTCTTCCTCAGGCCCATTCACTTTTCAGAGGTTTGGCTAACAGTGGCACAAGTTTTGGCTTCTCAGGATCTAGCCCCCAACCTTGTGGCCACAGATTATAGGACAGCTAGGTAGGAGGGGCGGAAAGAGCAGGGTAGAAAGGATGCAAGAACCTCTTAAAGCTGTGGCCCCTCCAAAGGAAACCTGGACAGCAGTGTTGGCCCTTGAGTGGCTGATCTCTTTAACAAGGCCAGCTTCCCAGCCTTCAGTGCCACAGTCATAGCCCAGGTGATCACCAGTGACCAGGCCAGGGACCAGCCCCAGGCCTAGCCTCTACTCATGGGGATCCCTTTGTCCTTGGTTTCTTTAGACACCCCTCTCTTGCTCCTGGCAATTTTCAGGGCAGCAAAACTTACCATTTTCTATTTATTGTCTGTTGAATCCTTACCATTTTAAACAACCATTCATGTTAGTTCAGTAACCCGTTTATTTGTCTTTTAAGCTATTAAGTTTCTGGGAAACATGTATGTATTTTTCTTTGATGGATAGAATGTAGTGTAGTATTGAGAAAATTAGATCGTGCATTTCCATGAGTGTGTCTGATGTTTTTGCTGTGTCCAAACCAGTAAGATCATCACACTGTTTCTGTCCTTGAAAACTGTGTTTGAGTGGCCTTCCTGACTGGCACTTCCTGTTCTATGCTCTTCTTCAGGGAATTCAGTTTCTAATAGAAAATGACCTGCTACAGAGTTCCCCAGAAGACGTTGCCCAGTTCCTCTATAAAGGAGAAGGCCTAAATAAGACTGTCATTGGGGACTACCTGGGTGAGAGGTAAGTTGAAGGAGGATGAGCCCCAGTGGGGTCCCCCCTCTCACCCCCCAGTCTGCAGCCTGAGCAGACCCACCCTCCCCTTCAGGGGTGCTCACAGCTATTTATCTGTGGGATACAGGGGCACATATCCTCCAGGAGTTTGGGAGCTGGTGTAGTCATTCCTCTTCTGTGCAGTGTGAGGGATGTTAAGGCATCTGGGGTCAAGTAGGATCTGTGCTCCTTTGGTGCCATTCATGTAGGAACCCAAGACAGAACCAACAGTGCCACTGTCTCTTTCTCTTGTTCTTGGAAAGCCTCTTCTTCATCTTGGAAAATCTGGCCCAGAAATACAACACATTTCTCAGTGTTTTTTTTCCCCCTGTCATTTTGGGTGAGAATAAAGGCAGGAAGCTATTAATATTTTGAATAAAAAGCAGCGGTTCAAATTTACTATTTGTGTTATGTTTTGTTTTCTTTTAGACAAGATCTTACCGTGTAGTTCACTCTGGCCTTGAACTCACTTTGAGCCTAGGCTGGCCTCAGACTGTGTTGATCCTCCTGCCTCAGCTGTGTCCCAGTGCTGGGATTACAGGTGTGTGCCACCACACCCAGCTCAGATTTACTTTCTAACCTCCAGTAGCAGAGGTTAGGCAAGACTAGTAAGGCAGCACATATAAAGTGTACCAGGATAGACTTATCAAGGACTTCAGAGAATGTTATTGAGCCAAGCCCAGTTAGGGTGGCTGTTTCTAGATTTTTAAAAAAATGCTTGGTCAGGCGTGGTGGAACACACCTGTAATCTCAGCACTCTGGGAGACTGAGGCAGGAGAATTTAGAGTTTAAGCCCAGCCTCTGAGCAATTACTGACTTAGTGAGATTTTGTCTCAAAATTTTAAAAAGGTGCTGGAGCTGGATATGGTGGCACATGCATGTGATCCGAGTACTGGGGAGGCTGAGGCAGGAGGATCCATGAGTTTGAGGCCAGCCTGGGGTACATAGTGAGTTCAAGGCCAAGCTGAAATACATAGTGAGACCCTGTCTCAAAAAACAATGCAAAAGGAAAGGTGTTGGAGATATATCTTTGTGCTAAGGCCCTGGCTTTAATCCCAGGTACATCAGTCAATCAGTGCATACTTGATTGAAAGTGGAACGTTACTCAGGTCATTCTTTGAGGTGAACACTACCTGATACTTGAACCAGAGACATCACAAGAAAAGGAAACTATATACCATTATCACTTAGGTATATAAAAAGAAAAATTTTCAACAAATTTTTAGAAAATGAAATGTAGCAATATATAAAAAGGATTATGCACCAACTTATGCCAGCATTATAGGGTTAGTTTAACACATAAAAGTCAATTAAGATAACATCATATCAATAGAATAAATAATAAAACCTATATGATTATCCCAATAAGTGCAGGATGAGCATTGGCAAAAGTTAGAACTGCTGGTCGTGTCTATAAGTCCAGTGCTCTGGAAGGCTGAGAGTCACAAGTTTTAGCCAGCCTGGGCAGCTTAGTGACTTGCTGAGACCCTGTCCCCAAAAAATAAAAAGGGCTGGAGATGTAGTGTAATGTGAAGGCCCTATGTTCAATCCCCAGTATGTATGTACATATGTACAACACTGTTTTTGATAAAAACACTCAAATACACAAAAAAACTAGGACTAGAAGATAACTTCTTCAACGGGAGGGAGGGCACCTAAGTCACATCCTACTAATGGTGAAAGAAAAAATACTTTTCGCCTAAGATCAAGAGAAAGTCTAGAATATTTACTCTCTCTACTGTTATTCAAAATGGCACTGGCACTTTTAGCTGGGGAAGTTAGGCAAGAAAATAAAATTACAGCTAGAAGGGAAAAGAATAAATAAAATTATCTCTGTTTGCAGATGACATAATCAATATATAGATAGAAAATCCTGAGGAATCACTGATAAAATAATAAACAAATTCAGTAAGATTGTAAGATACAAGATCCCAGAACTCATTTGTATTTTTATACAGTATGGATGAACAAACTGAAAGGATATTAGGGTAAAGACTCTGTTACAGTAGCATTAAAAAGGATAAAATAAGAATAATTTTATCAAAAGAAATGCAAAATTTTTACTCTGAAGACTATAATGTTGAAAAAATTGAAAGATCCAGAGAAACAGACATGTTCATTGCCCAGAAAACAATATTGCTGAGATGATAGTCCTCTTTATATTGAGCTGTTTTTTTAAAGATGTGTCTCACTTTGTAGTTCATGCTGTCCTTGAACACACTGTGTGGCCCAAGCTGTGTGCCACTGTGTGACAATATTCCTGCTTCAGCCTCCTGAGTGCTGATATTACACACATGTGCCACCATGTTTGCCTGAGCTATATATTTAATGCATCCCCTATCAAAATCCCAACTGACTGACTTTTTTGCAGAAGTTTGCAGGTTCATCCTAAAATTCATGTGGTACTTCAAGGGACCCAGAATAGCCAGTCTTGAAAAAGATCAAAGTTGGAGAACTCACACTTCCTCTTTACAAAATAAACTACAGCTCCACTAATCAAGATGGTATGGTAGTAATGTAAGGATAGTCATATGGAACATCTTAGAATAGAATGGAAAATCCAGAAATAAACTCTCATATATAATGTCTAATGATTTTTAAACAAATGTTCCATGACAATTCAGTGGAGAAAAAAAGAGTAGTCTTTTCAACAAATGGTACTCAGACATATACAAAAATTAAAAGGGATTGAAGTCCTAAATATAAGAAGTAAAATATAAAATACTTAGAAGAAAACATAGGGGTAAATCTTTGTGATCTTGATTTATGTCAGAGTTTCTTAGATCCAACACCATAAGCACAACAAAAACAAAAAATAGGTAAACTAGACATCATCAAAGTTAAATATTTTGTACTTCAGATGATATCAGCAAGAAAGTGAAATGACAACCCCTTAAACAGGAGAAAGCATTTGCAAATCTTATATAAATCGGATAAGGACTTATGTAGGATATATGAAGAAGTTTACCAGTTGATCATCCAAAATTCTAAATGCTTTGAAATATGAAATGTTTGTAGTACTAATGTTAAACTCAAATTCTAGATTTTGGATTTCTAGCATCTTGGATTTCAAGATTAGGGATGCTCAACCTGTATTGCAATCCTCAAGGAATGAATGTGATAGAGAAGAAGTTGAGACAAAGACTAGACCCTGAAAACTCCAGCCCAGAGCGGGCGATGGGAAGGAGTGGCAGGGCTGACCTTCATTCACTGCCTGCTGGGGGTGCTCCACACTGGTCCCAGCCAGACAACTTGTGAGCCAGGAGGGGCTTGCCTCCCCCAGGTGCATTGTGTGTAGCTGAGCCCTTTACAGAGCTCCCAATAAATGGTCTGTGAGCTTAGCCAGGGAGTGAATACTGGTTTGAGTGTCAGTCCTTGTTTGCCTGCCTGAGGAAGACTGGCTACAGTCTGTGCTTGGCCAGAGATTGGTGTTGGGCTTCAGAGTGGTGGCCTGCATGAATTCCAAGTAGACTTGTGTTGCTCCAGGCCTGTGGTGGGGCAGATAGACCCCAGCATTCTGCTGGGGGAGCTCCTCGGTGCACAGCATGACGAGGATGTACAATAGCATCTTTGAGTTAAAATTTAGTGAAGCAAGACGTTACGTCATTTTTTTGTAGTTATATAAATTTTACACATTTTACTGTATTTTTATGTTTATTTTTAAAAGGTAATATATTGTGCTCCCCGCCCCCCGCGAGGATCAAACTCAAGAACTTGTGCTTGTGAGGCAGGCACGTTGACACTGAGCTAAATCCCTGGCCCTTCCAAACTTTTTGAGCCAGCATAAACCTTATAATTTGTGGACTTGAGGGCCAGAGATCTAACTCAGTGGTTTCACTGCTTGCCTCGCAAGCACAAGGTCCCGAGTTCAATTCCTAGTACCAAGAAAACAATATATATGTATTTTTTGAACTTGAAATGGGCTTGGGGTCATTTTGAAGGCCACAGGACACAGATTAAGCATTGGGCAGGCCTCCCAGCTTGGTGCCCCGGTGCTCAGGTGGTGGTTGTTATGTGGGACTTTATAATGGTCTCCTTTTTTACCTGATTGTGAGGTATATCCCTAATATCCTATTCATTCTCTTTTGCATTAAGCCTGAAAATAAAGTGAAGAAAATCTTAATTTATAGTTGCACAAAATTAAAACTGCAAAAACATGCTATAGGACTTGGTTTTTTGTTTCTTTGTTTTTTGCCATGATCAGAATTGAACCCAAGGCCTTTGCACTGAGCTACATTCCCGGCCTTTTTCCTT